ATGGCTGAAGTTATGTAAACGAAAAGATATATCCTCTTTCATCATCTTTTCATTTTCACCAATGTTAGAAATAGAAAAGGAGAAGAAATATTGAAGAAAGGTTTATTACTTTTTTTGAATAATAGTGTATGTACAATAACTTATATATAAATATTGATAAAGAAAATATTATAAAATGTAAAATATATAACAAAATATTTAAAAATATAAAATATTTACAAGAATTATAAATATAAACTGAATAATTACATTCACATCTTAACAACCTAACATTCGAAGATTGTGCTTGTATAGAATTACTTAATTCATCCTTTCTTTCCAACTCGAGTCCACCTTCTTTTTAATGATATTAATTATCTTATTAGCTCAACTTAATTCGGGGGAGTTTGATATTACTCTATATGGATATAATCCTGATGAAAGAAAAAAAAGAAAAAGAAAAAGAAAAAGAATCAACGAATTAAAACAAGCCCTGAAAATGAGGTCCTGCCTCAAAATCCAAACCTCGGGCTCTAGTACAACAAGAAAAGGAAATGGAACTCATCTCAAGTAGCTAGTTATAAATGAAACTAGACTGGAGAAATGAAAATACATACAACATTATAAGCTGTATAATTTTTATTTATAAAATTTAAATGTTATTAAATAATTAAGGATTTTTTTATATCTTATATTCTTAGAACACAAGATAATGATATAATAAATATTGATTTTGATTTAATTAATTAACTAATAAAAATTATTCACATGTTAATGATGTTAAAATATATGTCAACAACTATAATTTTTAATATGAATTAATTACAAAAAATATATATTTAGTATACTTTTAACATATATATACCCTTATGGTTCAAGTTAGACAAACTTAATAATTAAATACATATAATATCATAAATTCTAGTAGAGTGAGAGGAGTATGTTATTAAATGACATGTAAAATTATATTAAAATGTTATATAATAAAAATTGTTTCTTAATTATTTTTCTATCCATGCCAATAAAAATCTTGGGTCCCATTAATGGATGTCGTCAGCCACTTCAGCATTACTATCTACTAAATACTTGAATGGAAAATTTACCAAATTCATATCTTGATTTTAAAAAAAATTTACATTCTTAAATAAAACAATAACAAAATTAACTTCCTCAACCACCGTTATTCAACAAATGTGGCTAGAAAAGATTCCCAAGTCCGTGACTGTACTCAGTATAGTTTGTTCATATCTTCCCTTTTTTACTAAGTCATGTCCATTATACTTATTTACTCAATTTTCCTCTTATTTTCATTCATTGACGTGGAAGCTCAATCTTAAACGCAAATCATATTTCTTGATTCATTCATATTCACAAGCAACTTTCTTCATTTTTCTATATAAGCCATCCGAATCTTCACTAAAAACACACACACAAAAAACCTCCCGAGAGATATATCCCAAAATGTCTCACAACATCAACATTTTTGCCTTTCTCCTCCTCATTTTTCTACTCAGCCTTCCGGCGCCTTCCTCCGGACGGCCGCCATTTGCATGTGACCCCCAAAATGGGGTGACGAGGAACCTGAGGTTCTGTGAGGCCAACCTGCCTGTCGATGTGAGGGTGAGGGACTTGATTGGAAGGCTTACTTTGCAGGAGAAGATTAGGCTGCTTGTCAACAATGCCGCCGCCATCCCAAGGCTGGGTATTCAGGGGTACGAATGGTGGTCGGAGGCGCTTCATGGTGTGTCTAATGTGGGTCCCGGCACTAAGTTCGGCGGCGCCTTCCCCGGTGCCACTAGCTTCCCTCAGGTCATCACCACTGCCGCTTCCTTCAATCAGTCACTTTGGGAACAAATAGGAAAGGTATGAAAGCCCAGTACACAACCACCATTTCTTTCATTTCATTTTCGAACTTTATTTATTTATTTATCTAATTATGAGTATATAATAAAAAATATTTTTTTTATTAGGGTTAACTCTTGAGTATTTTAAACTTTTTATTAGTGAAATTAATTAAAAAAAAAAAAAGTTCATTCCTGGGTTCATGTAAATTATTGTAGTACAATCCGTGAAGAGATCGCATTCAAAAGTTTTTGGTAGGTAGTACGCTCTAATTTCAACTGCACAGTTTGGTCTGTCGTTTGAAGTTTCAACAACCTGGGTTTGAAGTTTGAAGCCACGGTTGATCTGTCCAATTAAATTTATGCTTTAGCCCATACGCAGTTGCCCAATTTTTTTTATTCTTTTTTGGCCATAATTCTTTTGTTTTTTTCCTACTTTCCTCTTTCACACACCACAATAGTTTTTAAAATTCTTATGAAATGCTTTATACTATATATATCCCAAGATATGTGGACTATATGTGTGGAGTAAAATACAAGTGATGAATGATGGAGAGAAAGGCTAAGGCTAGCTATAAACAAGAAGG